TGCTGCACCTACTGCTGCACCTGCAGCAGCAGCAACCGTCATGTCTGCGTCGCAGACGGCCCCCTTGCACTGCTGCTGCGCCGCAGCAGCAGCAGCAGCAGCAGGACCCAAGCTGCGCAGGGAGCAATAAAAGAGGCAGCAACTTTCTTTTTTATCCAAACCTGCCACACACCGGAGGGCCCCCCTAAGTTGCTGCTTCAGCTGGGGGCCCCCCAGGAGCGCAGCTGCGCTTTGCTGCTGCAGCAGAGTCGGCGGCAGCAGCAGGGTCACCTGGAGGCTCACGGGGCTGCAACACAGCTGCAAATGATGCTGCTGCTGCTGCTGCTGCTGCTTGGGATGCAGCTGCTGCAGTGGGGCCCCAGCAGCAGAGAGGGGCCAGACTTCAGCAGCTTTTAGAGGCGACGGCGCGAAGCTGCTGGAGAAGTAGGAAAAGTAGACCGACGTGTCTTGCTGCTGCTGCTGCTGCTGCAGCAGCACGAAAACGAAGGGCTGCTTCGAGAGCCTCCTGCTGCTGCTGCTGGCCTCCTGCTGGAACGTCGCAGCAGCAGCAGCTGCCTCATCTGCTGCGTTGAGGCCCTGGGCGACCCCCTCTGCAACAGCTTCCGCCAGCCGCCGCAGCTGCAGCTTGTCCTGCAGCAGCAGCTGCTGCTGCTGCAGCCGCAGCATGTGCTGCTGCTGCTGCTGGTCAGAAGCACAGCCTACCCGGGCCCAAAGCCCCAAAATTGCGATGCCCCCAACGAGGTGATGTGAGCAGCAAAGGGAAGCCTGCCGAATGAGCCTGTCTACCACCTGCTGCTGCTGCTGCTGCTGCTGCTGCTGCATCTTTTCGAGAAACGCCAGGGCATCTTCTCCTTCTTCCAGGTCCGGGTCTGAAGACAAAGAGGCGAGGGGGGCCCACAGAAGAGCATGCAGGGGGGCCCCCTGGCCCTTGTCTTTGGGGGGCCCCTCTGCTGCTGCTGCTGGGGCTACTGCCCCCAGCAGCAGCCCCAGGGGGGGCCCTCCCGGCTGCGGCAGGGAGGCCCTGGTGGTGATGAGGCGCGACACAACCTCCGCCATGGTTCCGGAAACCCTAAACCCTAAACCCTAAACCCTAAAAGCCCATGCGAGACCTGCATGAGACTCAGTGGCTTCACGCGGGGACTCTGCAGCTGCCTCTTTGGGCAAAATAGGCTTTTGTTTTGCTGCTGCTTCAGCTGCTGCAGCTGTCACTGATGTAGCTGTCGCCCGCCGTGCCGCTGCCGCTGCTGCTGCTGCTGCTGCTGCTGCTGTCTTGCTGCTGCTGGGGCAAGTGGCTCTTTCTCTGGCGGCGAGACGGAACAAATCATGCTGAGTTGCTGCTGGTGTGCAATTTTAAGGGTTAGGGTTTAGGGTTTGAGTTCAGATACGCTCTTGCTAAACCCTTCGGCCCCCCGCCTGCAGCGGCGCTGGCGCGCGGGTTTAGAGGCCTTTCTAGGGTTTAGGGTTTGCCAATTCGCCTTAAAGAGAAGCAACAACGCAAAAGAAACACAAAACACTACGTATGAGGGTTTAGGAGGGACGTTAGGGTTCACGGAAAGGGTTTGCTGCTGAGGGAGATGGGCCTGGCGGCAGCAACGGCGGCGGCTGCAGCCGCCACCGTAGCGGCTGCTGCGCTTGTTGTGGTTTCTGTGGCGGTTTAGGGTTTAGGGTTTAGGGTTTCAGAATAAAATTTGCTTCCTTAACGGAGTCGTGCCCTCAAAGGCCCCTCGGACCTCGTTTGCTGCTGCTGCTGCTGCTGCTGCTGCTGTTGCTGCTGCGGGAGGTTCTCTGTCTTTTCTGCGCGTATTTCTGCCGCAGCCAAACCGCCTCAAGAAGATGTTCTTCATCAACTGGTAAACCCTAAACCCTAAACCCTAAACCTTGGGGTCTCTTTCAGCGGCACCGCTGCAGCAGCAGCTCCGCAGCAATCAATGAGGGGTTTGCATTCGCTGCTGGCAGCAGGGCTGGCTTTGCTGGGTTTAGAGTCAAGGGCTTGCTGCTGCGGGTTTGGAGGTTTCCGGGGCCAACCCTAAACCCTAAACCCTAAACCCTCAAACCCCCAGGGCCTGTGGCGGTGCAGCTCTGGACCAGCGCCGGGGGCCCTTCTGGCCTTTTGCCTCTGAGGGCCTCTTTGAGTTTGTCTGGGGCCCCAGGAGCGGCTTCAGGGGCTGCAGCTCGGGGGGTTTAGTGGTGCCTTTTAGGGTTTAGGGTTTAGGGTTTAGGGTTTGGGGTTTGGGGTCACCGGGAGGAGTACAGCGGGCGCGGCTCTCGGTTTCTGGCGGGCTGCAGTTCTCCGGGGGGCGTGGCGGGGCGGCTGGGGCCGGGGCCGAGGGTTTAGGGTTTAGGGTTTAGGGTTTAGGGTTTAGGGTTTTGGGTTTGTGCAGGTTTTGGGACGTGCTGGGGTACTTCGGACTTTCCCGCAAGTCCGCCCGCATTGTTTTTCTAGGCCTCGACAATGCAGGAAAAACCACTTTGCTGCACATGTTGAAGGACGACAGAGTGGCGCAGCACGTCCCCACGCTGCACCCCCGTGCGGCTAGGGTTTAGGGTTTAGGGTTTAGGGTTTAGGGTTTAGGGTTTGGGGTTTGGGGTTGGGGGTTGGGGTGCGGGCGCGCGGCGGGGGCCCACTGGCGGCGGGTGGGGGGAAGCAGGCTAAGGACGGGCTGCTGCGAGGGTTTGCTGCAGCGGGGAGGGGGGCATTAGGGTTTAGGGTTTAGGGTTCAGGGTTTCGGGTTTGGGGTTTGGGTTGGGGTGCAGACTCTGAGGAGCTCATTGTGGGAAAGATTCGTTTTAAGACATTCGACCTTGGAGGCCACGAGACAGGTGGGCGCACGGCAAACAGAGGCAAAGCTGGGGTTTAGAGTTTAGGGTTTAGGGTTTAGGGTCTAGGGTTTAGGGTTTGCGCGCAGCAAGGAGGATTTGGAGAGACTACTTCGCAGCCGTCGACGCAATTGTTTTCATGGTGGACGCGACGGACAGGGGCCGCTTCCAGGAGGCCAAGGAAGAGTTGACGGTAAACCCTAAACCCTAAACCCTAAAC